AGCAAATCCAAATGGCTAAAATCAGTCACTTACATATAAGTCTCTCTTTGATATGAATAGGGCCCGGCTGCATACATGCATAAACTGATCATAAGGGCATAATTTGGACACTTTTGTGCGTCCTGGTAAATTCTCTTCTTACAGAAAGGCTATCCTATATCCTAGTCTTTGGTTGGTTCTGTCACAGCCCGCTTTCTACGGCATCAAAATCGTGTGACGATCGACGGCGAATTTGAACGAAATCATCCGTATATCATTTTCGTTCAAATTCGCTGTACCAATCGAATTACAATGGGCATGGGTAATTTTGTTGTCAATAGTATAAATACTTACGAGACGATGAAGGTTTAATAGACATCCAGGTAGAACATGGCATCCCTCCATACAGACCCTCCTAAAAGTTGCACCAACCTGACGGACGCTCTCGGCTGGCTGCGCACAGGGCCGACACTTACACACCTAGCGGCGGGCAGCCAAACTGCAGGGGCATCGCTGTAGCCGGGAGGCCGATGTCACATCACTGAGGCTAGAAAACTTAGCTGGAAAGTTTCACCTGTGCTGGTAGAAGTCATTCTACGACAAAATTGAACTGTAATTTTCAACACAATGTCAAAAAATATAACTTACCAAATTTTCGACTGTTCCACTTCAGTCTTTGTGTCAAAATTCCTTGACAAAGACTGGATTTGAACAATTGAAAATTTGGGTTTTCTTTTCTTTTTTTCTTTATTTCGATGCCCTTTAGCCCAAAAGGCTAATCTTCCAGGGCTCATGCAGAAATAAGATCACATATACAACAGATAACATAGTAAAAAATACACCTTTAGCACAAAAAGAAATTCACTTATGTACAAAAGAAAGGAACATAATCATACAATTTTGTAGTTCTTGTCTTTTCTTAGAAATTACACTGATACATGTATACATGTATAGGGTGAAGAAACAAGTAGGAAGCTGATTCGGAACAACTGCATGACATTTATTGCATTTTGTCGATATCTGAATGGAAAACGTAGCAGATCGAGCGTCGTTTGTACGTCCTTGTTTCATTCCTGCTGACATCTACATGAACATCTGTCTGGACAGTGGATACTGTATACTCAATAAACAATAGTTAAAAGGTTCATCTGTGTTGGTGAGAGTCATTCTGAAACAGGTTCATACAGTAACTGTAGTTTCCAACACAAAAAATGGACTTACTCAAATCTTTTACTGTTCAATTCATCAAGTCCAGAAAACTTGTGTGAGTCAATTTTTTTGAACCTGTTTCTGAATCTCCAAATACAAATGTAGATGCTCCAGGCAGGGTTTTCTTTCTTTCTTTCTTTTGAGACCTTTTTGAAGAATATATGTTTCCCTAAATGCTAATGGCAGCTTTTTTTGAAATTCATTTTCCTCGTACATCAACTTCCTCCTCTCTTTCTTACCATACCCTCGCTTAAAAAAAAGCAGCCGCTACTATCACAGGGAAACCAAGAAAAGGCCTCAAAATACATTAAAACTCCTGACTAGAACATCTGTGTGAAGTCAGGGCTGTACAGGCAGTAGAGAATGAAGGGGCAAGTTGGATGGACTCAACATAAACATGTATCATAATGTCTACAACACAAGCATTTCTTATCTATATCATACAGACTCATTTTAACTAAAATATACAGAACATAGTAGCCTCCAATACAGGCGCCTGGGGCCTCAAATTACATACAGGTTCATCCCATGGAAGAGTTATAGCCTCCAACACAGCCTTCTGAGGCTCCTATCAGCCTCATTCAATAAAAATCTCATAATTTATACAGAATTTGAACCTCCAAAATCAGTGACTACCATAGCCTTGAACAGGCTTTTGAAGGCAGCTCATTTACATGTAATCTCACTTTAACATAGTCTCTGACCCAGGCCCCTTAGGACCATTAACCAGAAGTTACTGTACAATTCTTAACAGGCTGCAGTAGTCCTTATTCAAGCCCTGATGCCAGGCTACTGTACTGGAGGCCACAGAATACTGCTATTCCTTTAATACTTTAACAAAAAGACCTTAATAATACAGTCTAAGACTTGAGCTTACTCTGATTAAATAAAACACATTGTCCTACAGTGCACAAATAAAATGATATAATCACAAATGGAAAACAACACAACATTACATAAAAGTGACTACATAACAGTTAAACTTTTCAGCCCAGGACTAACATTGCACGTTCCTGGTCTGAGTGTCAGAGAGGTTTAATATCTGCCTTCCCTATCATGAAAGTTCATCTGTGTTGGCAGTTACATGTTTTAAGTTAAAACTTTTGGTCCAACACAAAAATTCTCTCACAAAGAGCTTTCAACCAGTCACTCTGGTCTTCCTCAGTAGACTGACCCAGTGAAGCTTGTCACGTGGCTTCTTTGAAGTGTGACGTCAACACTGGGTCAAAGGTATCTGGTAGACGATGTCAGTCTACTGAGGAAGACCAGAGTGACTGGTCGAAAGCTCTAGGTGAGAGAATTTTTTGTGTTGGATCAAAAGTTTTAACTTTAAACATCTACCTTCCCTGTTGAGAATCTTAAACCATCTTTTTCCAGAGTAAAAGGGCTGATTAAAAATCTAAAATGATTTTAAGAAAAAAAAAATTCATTGGCAAGGGAAAATACTGGAAGCAGTCACTGTTGGTCCTGACACAGACCACGTTAGGTCGGGGTTTAAAATACTTTTTGTTGCATACCTTCACTAGTGCACCTGCACCAGTCAGAATTTAGAAGTACGAATCATACTAAAAACTTGTCGTAAACCTGTTGCCATCATTTCTTTTACAATTTGTAGGTGGTGACAGTCGATGCAGCAAATAAAAATCCACACCTACATGTACATGTATGTATAAACCCAGTACATGGACCATTACAGGTTACGTAGGTGCAGGTGGACATGAGAAACACCTGCACAGCTCCAGTTTTACCTGCACTAACCTGCAGGTGGTGACGTGGTATTGAACAGGCCTGAGGGCACTTGCATGGCACAAAGCATGGATTGGCACTTTCTCCACAGGAAGCCACAATATGCGTTTCCAAAAAACTGTTACATTTCCAGGAAACTGTTACATTTTCCAGGAAACTGCAACATGTCCAGGAAACTGCAACATTTCCAGGAAACTGCAACATTTCCAGAAAACTGCAAATTTTCCAGGAAACTGCAACATTTCCAGGAAGCTGCAACATTTCCAGGAAGCTGCAACATTTCCAGGAAACTGCAACATTTCCAGGAAACTGCAACATTTCCAGGAAACTGCAACATTTCCAGGAAACTGCAACATTTCCAGGAAACTGCAACATTTCCAGGAAGGAATCTGTGTCACTTTTTTTCCAGGAAACTCCGTCCTTTCTGAACAATAGCTGCATGGACCCGTGTGAGGACATCTCTACATGAATAATGAGGGGCAGTCCTGAAACTG